AAACAAAGTAATATTCACAGATTCCAGGGACTGGAATGAGCACTAATCTTTTAGGGGGCCATCATTCAGCCCACTACAAGCCCCAAACTAGAAACAACCTAAATGTCTATCAACTGTAGAATGAAAAATAAACTGCGGTATATTCATATCATGGAGCACCATAAAACAGTAAAGAGGAACAAATTATTGCTACACGAACACCATTGGTGATGCTCATAAAGATAATACTGAGTGAAAGGAGCCAAACCTAAAATAAATACCTAATGTATAACTCATTTATATAATGCTCAAAACTAGCAAGACTGATCTATAGGATTAGAAGTTAGGATAATGGCTGCCTTTGGAAAAGAGAAGGCCTTGTGACTCCGGGGACTCAAGGGAAATTTGTGCAGGTGCTGATCCTGTTCTATTCCTTGATCTGGGTGGTGGAAATTCACCAACCTGAACTTTCCTGCATATGTTTACATTCTTCTTTTTATCTTCTTTTCTTTATCACTTTTCTGCATATGTTTACATTCTTCTTTTTATCTTCTTTTCTTTATCACAGCTATGCTATATGGTTTGTTTAAAAAAATCCATTCCTATGTAGAATCTAAAGAACAATATAAACAAACAAAACACAAACAGACTCATAGATACAGAGAACAAACTGATGGTTGCCAGAGGAGAGGAAGGTTGGGAGACTGGGTGAAAAAGGTGAAGGGGTTGAGAAGTACAGATTGGTGGTTACAAAATAGTCATGGAGATATAAAGTACAGCATAGGAAATAGAGTCAATAATAGTGTAATAACTATGTATGGTGCCAGGTGGGTACTGGAAATATCAGGGGGAACACTTTGTAAAGTATACGAATGTCTAACCACTATGCTGTACATCTGAAACTAATACAAAATAATATTGAATGCAAACTGTAATTGAAAAGTTAAAAAATTTAAAGCCATTCCTATGTTATACATTTTTCTTCTTTTTTTTGCATATATTAGATTTCAATACATATATTTATTAATAATTATGAATGATTACAACAGTGCTTTCTTTCTCATGGGTTTAGGTGGTACCATCTCTCAGGAATGTTTGTTTTTGGGACATGTGTATATATTTTCAGTCTGACATGTTTTGAAGAGATGTTGAATTGGAGGATCCAATCATGACATGGAACAGACTGTGTTGTAATTTGTTCCCAAACTGTTCTATAAGACTTTAGTGTCACGGACCTTCCTTAATGAAACTCGGAGTGTGGGTGGTTGGGGTAGTGGTGGGAAATGTTACTCGAGGGTGACTGATTCAGACTTGGGAAAGGTGTTATGCATCCTAGGATGGGGAAGGGGTAGGATTTCCCAAAGATGGGCAGAGTCCTAAGAGAGATTATAAGGGTAGGTACAAAGACGGCACTTAAGGCGAGAACCTGGTATTGCCTCGTAGAGGGAGACCCCTAGGTAAAGAGCTTTATTCCGGTGCTCCCCCTTGGACTTTGTGAAATGTCATACTGGGCTTGGCTTTAAGTTCCGGGCCTACATTGTAATTCCTTAGGGTCAAAAGTCAACATACCAAACCAAACAGAAACAGACTCATAGATACAGAGAACAAACTGGTTGCCAGAGGGGAGAGGAGGCAGAGGGTACTAAGAGGTATAAGCTTCCAGTTATAAAATAAGTAGGACATGGGGATGTAGTGCAGTGTGGTGATACAGTAGGTGGTTAGCAGACTTACTGTGGTGATCACATCATAGCTATATAAATGCCGAATCACTATGTTGTAACTAATATAAGGTTGTATGCCAACTATACTTAAAAAAAAAAAAAAAGTCAATGTACCCTCAGTCCTGTGCCATGTACTGTGGCATCAAAAGGGAAGGGGAGTAAAGGGATGGTGGGTCCACTCACACCCACCTCTTAGCCAGCTCTACTGCAGAGGGGCGGGGGTTGTCTGTGTCTAGAAGTCCCAGCAGTGGAGAAAGTGGAAGTTCATGGCATGTATGGGAGAGGCCAAGAACAAGAGCCTAAGGGGTAGCTTCTAATGGGACAATTCAAGGTGAAATAGATACTCACAACTTCTGCTTTCCTCTGTATGCCATGAAAATTATTCTGGAAAGGTGGAACACGGCTTGCATACAATGAACACATATTGCTTTCACATCCAGACAAAATAAACCTTATGTTTTTAAAAAATGGTTATGCAGGGTACTATGAAAGGTGGCAGTAGCAGGAATGAATGGATTAATGCTGATGGCTTAAAAGCCATTTATACCTCTCTTATTTAACTTGAACTGCTTTTTATTTGCAAGGAATTGGGAGAGCTAGAAATGGTACCACACTTTCTGCCTTTGAGGTTTACAAGTCAATAAAACAATCACTGAATCAGAGTACAAGAAATAAGCTAGGGAACAAGAAACTGTTCTGAAGGGAGAGGCAGAGGGAAGGCTCTGTGCAGAAAGTAGGAGGGGTACCCATGCCCTACAGCCATTTAGTTGTGGGATTCAAGGACCTTTTGAAAGGGAC